TTGACAGAATGAGGGCAAGATACATAGCAGCCTCACTTTATTTCTTGTTTTACCTTTGTATCTGTAGGAGATTAAATATGTTACAAAGCAAGATATAGCAAAGACAATAATAAATCTGAGATAAAAAAAGATTCTGTCATACTTTTGAAGCTGCAACATAGTTGACATTTTGGTATTCTAGGGAGGGAATAGTTAAGAAAACGTAAGGGGGCAAAACCTATGTGCCAGTCGTTTAGTATATTGGGAGAAAGTAAGAGCAAGATAGTAAGAAACTAACCAGCATTGAGTCAATTGTCCTTCCTCGGTTATACTATGCACACCTTGGGGCAAAAATAGCTTTTTCATTTTAGAACCAAACAGTGAAAATAGTGAGCTTACTGGCAAAAATTACCAAAAAATCCTTAACCCCCAGACCTAGAAACTTTAAAAACATTTGAAAATATATATATATATATATATATACACACACACATTTAAATATATATATATATATATACACACATATATATATATTTACCACCATTAACAGTATAAGTATGAAAATAATATTATTTAGTCATTTTAGAATTGAGAAAATACAGTAAAATTAGAAGTTAGAAGAAAATGATAAACTTGAGGTAAAAAAACCTAATTGGGAAGAGGCCCAAAGTAAGAGAATACACTTTGTATCCAAGCAACACATTTCTTAGCTAATAACATAAAGCTAAATGTTAAAGCAATGTAATGACCCAAAGAGGTGATAGTCTTAGCCCTAAGCCTATCTTGGTCACATTTCGCAGGTTGCAACAGGCTTACCTGCCATAAAGTGTAGTCAACACTTATCTCTTTGCAAGATTCAGTCCTACACACACACACACACACACACACACACACACACACACACACACACACCCCATTCCTCCATATACCTTTGCAGACCAGTTCTTCAACTCTACTAAGCTTCCACATGAGAGGTTAAATTTATTCTAATCATCAAGCAGGAGAATAAAATAAATAAGGGTACTGCTTTTTGGTAAAGATGATTGTTAAAGAATGAAGATGTCCTTTTCCATTGATTCAAATTTCATGTTATAGACATACTGCTATAAAGACACTTGGAACATACTAGGTTATGTTATCCACTCTCCTAGCAAACCCAGACCATATGTTACTATTAATTGCACAGCGTTGTAAAAGGTCAGGAAGAAATAAAACAAGGAAAAAATAATGACTTACTTCATATAGGCAAGTTCAATTCAATATTTATTAAATATTTCCTATGTGAAAGGTAATAAAGTATATGAAGACCAAAAAAAAAAAAAAAGGAAATCTCTGACCTCAAGAATCTTACATTCTATTGGAGGAATAAAAATGTGTATGGATTAAATGAATAAAAAGAATATAAGAAGGGGCAGGTAGGTGGCACAGTGGATAGAGCGCTGGTCCTGGAGTCAGGAAGACCTGAGTTCAAATTCAGCCTCAGACACATGATACTCATTAGCTGTGTGATCCTGGGCAGTCAACCCTGATTACCTCGCCAAAAAAAAAATAAAATAAAATAAAATTACACACACACACACACACACACACACACACACACAGAAAAAGTAATAATACACACACACATACACACACACAGAGAAAGTAATAAAAAAAAATAAGTTCAAGAGGGAGAGAGAACACTAAAAACTGAGAGGAGGCAGCCCCTCTATTGAAGCTGCAACATAGTTGACATTTTGGTATTCTAGGGAGGGAATAGTTAAGAAAAAGTAAGAGGGCTGGGTCCTAAAACTCAGCAGAAAAGAGAGTGCAATCAAGGTAGCCAGTACAGAAGGCACAAAAGCCAGAAATGGAATGTGGTACACAGCTAGGAGACCAGTTTGACTGGAATGGAGAGGGGCTGAAGAGAAGTAACATGGAATGAAAAGTCCTTCAGGATTATCCCCTAATAGAAACAGGGGAAAACTAAGGCTGGACCAAAGCCATGAAGTGCACATGCTCTTTTACAGATTGCCATTTCTTGGGTAGGAGGCGGTATGGAGAAAAAAAAAAATATGAATTCATGAATGCATTTCTCAAGGGTGTAGGGTGTAGGGGGAAGAGAAGGAGTAGGCACAGACACTAATTCACGTTAAATTATTTTGGCAGTAAAATAGCATGCGCTGTCAGCCATAGGTGTTCTAGCATTTATCTTTTACAACTACCAATCTCCTCTAAGCAAAAGCAAAGGGAGATCAATTTGGGGGGGAAAAAGTGATATTTTTAAAAGATTAACAAAGCTTCGTAAAATGATGTTTCAATATTTGCTTTCTATGCTTGTTCATTTTTCATCCTCTGTAAGGCATTTGCCTATATTAACTATCATTTTTACAAACTTGTCTAATCTACACCCAAGAGAGGAAGCTGCCCAGAATGTTTCAGTAAGCAGGGAGAGCTATACATCATATTTGAACAGTATAAGGGCCTAGCACCCACCCCCAAATACAACACTGTGAGGGAAATAGGAAGGGTAGGAGGAGCTAGGGAAGATGACTATCTAATACAGAGGCAATAAAAAGAAAACAGTGTGCTAAGCTAAATAATTTGTGATCTAGTTAGACAAGGTCATACCCAACATTTCTTTATATTGGGTAACTTATATTTTCTGGTGCCATCTCAATTGTGTTTTACCTCTTTTATTTAAATAGTAAATAAAAATAATTTAATTTGCATTTATTTTTAAATCATTTTAAGTTACTTTAAAATAATTTAAAAATAAGTCAGTCTTCTAATACCTAGAAATAAAAAAAATAAAGATACATAAGAAGTTATGATTCCTTTTTTTTTTTCCTTTTTTAATAGGAAGGGGGAATAGATTGGAAAGGGAACTAGCTTCTTATACCAAAGGCTGGGTGGGGAGGGCAGAGTGTGAAGGGAGAGACAGGGAGGCATAGAGAAACCTCAAAAATCATCAGAGCATAAGAGAGTATATGTAAGAATAGTACAGAAGAATACCATGGAACTAGTCTCTTTCTTCCATTCACTGTCAACTACATTTTTGAGCTGGTATCCCTTCATCTAAACAATCTAATTAGTTTTCTTTTCCTTGTATTAGCTAATCTACACCTGGGATTAGAAATCTGTGGAAGAAAATGGAGCAAGAAAAGATTAATTTGTTCTTTTCATGTCAAAGCTACCCTAAATTGTCAGATTAGACATATTCCTGAGATATCTGGGTCATCTATAAACTAAAAGAGCCTATATTACATGTTCTAACACAGGGTTATGGTTCACTTTTCAGCTCAACGATTTGGGAAATCAACCTTAAATTTAACATCTTTATCAAAGTGAAGCATTAAAGTTGGGGGGTGGGTGCAGGGAGGAGATCAAAGGAGCAATACAAAGCTAATGTCACCAGAAATCCAAAGTTCAGGTTCTCAGAGTAACTTTAAGTGCTGAGAACCAGAATGAATACAGATCTTAAATCACTAAGAGACGCACTAAGACACCTCTCGAAATGGCGAGTTAGCTAAACTTCACATGGAACAGCTATGTTTCTCAGAGGTTTCGATCTAAAATTAAAATGTAACACAAAGTACAGGTTTATGTTTTAATAGTAGGACCCAGAGGCATTGACCAGACAAAACTACAATTTCGGTGTAAATGCAGTGTAGAAATAAAATCGCTGCTTCTAAGATGCAATATCTGGGCAGCTCAACCTAGTCTCCTCATTTATTACAAGCCGGGAACGATGGCCACGCAGGAACGTGTGGACCGTTCAGACTCTCATTTGTAATAAGTAATCACAGAAGCACTGGAAAAAGATTCAACCAGGCTGGGAAACAAAATATAACAGGAAGATAAAAGGCCCTAATTCATGTCTGCTGTGGGCTATGCTGAGTTGAAGAAGTCTTTGTTTTTAGTATTTTCTTTCCATTGCCTGAAACATGTTCCTGGAGTGTCTGGGCTGAGATTTGTAGCCTGTTCACCTTTAAAGATAATCTACCCTGGGTTATGTGATCATTTTACCAATGGCATAAACAATTCCCCAGTGTCTAGCTCACAGCTGAACATGGGCATGCAACTTATGAACCATGAATCTAAACCATGAGAGTTGGAAATGCTGGTGAAGAGACCCACCAAAGGAGAAGAAAAAACAGTGCTGATTCCAAACACTTCTAGATGGATGTAAGAAGTTCTAAGAGATTTTAAAAAGAGAAATTTCTCAATATTTGAAAGTGAGTTTTATCACAAGGTAGCCATTTAGATATAGACTTTGAGGACCTCAAAATTGCTAGTGTCACTGATCCATCTGTATTCTCCAGCTATCTAGTATCATTTATGGAATAGGACTCATATATCTATCCCCCTTATTTACAATCACTCAAATTGGAAATGAGGAAATTCTCCATCAACTTTTTGTTTTGTTTTGTTTTTAGGCAATTGCGGTTAAGTGACTTGCCCGGGGTCACATAGCTAGTATGTGTCAAGTGTTTGGTCTGAGGACGGATTTGAACTCAGGTCCTCATGACTTCAGGGCCGGTGCTTTATCCACTGTGCCACCTAGCTGCTCCCCATCAACTTCTAAAGACTAACACCCACCCTCTCTTTCCCCATGCCTCTTCACAAATTACTAGGCATAAGATTTTGTAAAAAGGGCATTTTTTTATGCCCAGGGAATACCAACTTAGACACAATACAAAGTTCACTTAGAAAGCTTAAAAAAAAAAGTAGCATTTGTGAAGCAGAAGTCACATTTATTCCTAAAAAAAAATGTCAGAAACGTAGCTTAAGTAGATGGGATGAGATGAGCTGAGAGGTATTGTGCAGATCTTGCTTTGCTAGAATGCAAGACAGTATCTCCCTAGGCAATGAGATAGGAGCTTGTGGGGGTAGGAGAGGGAGACAGGATACTCAACATTCAGTAGTTGAAAACTAGCAAGTGCAATAATAAATACCCATAATCTGAGCTCCTGAAAACAATAAGCAACAAATGCCTTGTTCCTCTATTCCACACTCTAAGAAATAAACATGCATCTTACCCCAGAGATGTCTGCCACACGGTGGATAGGCACTTCCTTCTTGCTATGTAATCCTTTCCCATTCTTAATAGCTCTGTTGAAGAAAAAAACACATTAAAAGCAAAAATCAGGATGGGCAGGTCTGCACAAAACATACTGTATGCTACTTAATAAACCAGTGTATGCAAGAGAATGGGGGATAGGGAAGGAAAAGAGATATGTGCTCCTGCTTCTCCCAATCCCAATTACCAGCATTCAACTGATAGTTTCAGCTAAATGTGTACCTGATAATCAGAAGGAGCTTTTGTATTTGTTTCCAAATTAAATGGTATTGTTTCAAATACAAAAGAAAGAATCAGTTGGAAGAGCACACTAGTAAGAATTAAAAGTAATAATTTTTTCAGGGCTTAATCACATGAAACATTTTAAAATGTAAAATATGTAAGTATTGTTACAATTCTAATGGAAATACGTTCCTCCCAGGAAAAAAAGTTAAAGTTCCTGGAATGAAGGAGTATCATTAAGAAAAGTCATTAAACGGCAGGAAAAAAATTAGTAAATGCTACAGAACTGACATTGAGCCCAATTTTCAATTCAGTCTAAAGCTGTAATTACCACAATGTATTAACAAGGAACACCACATCTTACTATCGAGTTCTTGACTTTTTAATCTTGTCCAGATCCTATGAATATTCAGGAACCTTCTATCATAACCATCTTCCATACCATATAACCCCCCACACTCATATCTCACAACTTCTCTCAGTCTCCTATAAAGATAAACAGATAAACTGTAGAGCCATGTGTAACTTAATAAAATTTCACAAGTTGCCTGGGAAAGAAAGGTTAAAAATGAACCTTCTTCAATTATTACATTAGGGCATATTTAGCTTATAAAGTTATTTGGCTGCCTTAGAAACCCAAGACTTATACTAAACAGCATTAATTTAAGTATCTACATAGCACCCCTAAAGACAGTAATAGAATCAAATATCTAGGAGATAAAGGGAGAATAGATGGCAGGCCCAGTTAGGGTGGTTCCACAGGGCAGGTAAGCAAAAGGGTGTGGCGACAGTGGGAGGCAAGATGTACTTGAGAATCTGCCTGTCTCCCAGTTTTACCAAAATGAAGGGAAAAATCTGGGGCTAAACAGAGTTGCAGACAGAGGTTATTTTCACAAAACATGGAGAGCTAGGGCTGATAATGATAGGAGGAAAAGCAGACTTGGCTTATCAAGCCAGATGGTTGGAATGCTTTAGTAATATAGTTACTGGGCCTCTGAAATGGAATCATGGAGAGAGATATACATACAATCCCTTAGCTTAAAAATCCTGCATCTGTTGACAAACTGGCTTGACCCTTGATATTTCTTCCAGAGTAATAAAACTTAATCCTGAATAATACTGACTATATTAAGAAAAAGAGAAGACAAGAAAAAAGAAAATCCATCCTCTATTTGTAGATGTAGTTAATGATTGTTGTAGTCAACTTTTTAATTCAGAGGAAAAAAAAGAAAAGTAAAAAATTATCCTAAGGTTGGCAGGTCTTCATTTCTTGTTATTTCACTGCAGTGAATGGGAGTTTGTGAGACCTTCCAATGCATTTCAGAAGACAGGGAAGCTTACTTAGGTTCTCTGTCATGTAACAACACTAGCCAGGTCCCTTCCCACCCTGAGACTTCAATTTACTCATCAATAAAAGTTAAATGGGAAGAACACACCCAGACCCGACACTCAAAGAACTCAAGAGTCTGATGGAGAAATGAGAACACCCAAGGAAGCTGAAGAAGACGACAAGCTAGAGTGAGAGCTGCCAGCTCAGACTCCAAGACTGAGGAGTCAAAAGAAGTAGGAGATCAAGGAGGCTACATTCAGGAGATAGAAATGAGAGACAGCGGCATAGAGGAAGGATTCAGCTTGGGGAGTGTTGATGGATGGGTAGGAGTGTGATGGGGAAGAAAACAGCCTCAGCAAAGGAAGTGAGAGCAGGAATGAGCCTAGTAGCAAAGAGCAGAGAAAAATGGAGTTAGATACTAGACAATTAGACTTTAAGTGGATATAACAAGGACTTGTGAAGTGTGTAATAGGGGCTAGAAGAAGCACAAAGTTTCAATAAAATATAATTCAATCCCTCATAGAACTCAATATTTCAAATGAGGGTTGAAGACATAAATCACTAAAAATAATAAGGACTTGTACATTATCAAATATGTGATATTGGGGAGGGGGAAGGTAATCCTGGACTTTGAGGGTAGAATCAGGAGCTATGGGAGGGAAGTCATGGGAAATGGATTTTGTCACACTAGAAGGAAAAATTTTGAAACAATTAGAGCTAATAAAAAGATATGCCAAGATATGGTATATTGTGTGGTAGCTGAGTGATCCATCACAGATCATAAGATCAATGATTTACAGCTAGAAGAGACTTAAAGGTCATCTAGGTCAACCCACTTCCTTTACAGATTAGAAAACTGAGATCCAAAGAGGATAAGTAATTTATTTGAAGTCTTGGCAGGTAAATAAGTGGCAGAACCACAATTTGAAGAAAGGTCCTTTGACTCTGAATTCAACATTCTTTAAGCAGAAGCTGGATAACCATTTGTGACACTTTCCATTGTATTACATCCCAGAAGTTCAAGCTCTCCCTTGTGAAAAAGCTTGGACTTTTGAAAAGAACACATAAATACAGACACTCAAGCTTAGGTCCTATATCTATTGTGTAGAGGACTCGAGTTGGGGTACAGATTGCATTAAATGGCTTATGACTTTTTTCTTTTTATTCTGAAAGTCTGTCGAACTAAGTTATCGCTAATAGCTCTTTCAATTCCAAAACTCTAATGATTCTAAACCAGAATGAAGATAGAAATTTTCTGACAAGAAACTACATGGACCAGAGCTGAGATGTAGGGTTCTGCCAAGCCCTAGGACAACTCCAACCTTTATAGGTAAAATAAGAGAATCACAGTGTCTAGAATGAGGAAGACTATCATTCTGCTACTGAGATCAAACTCAGTCTGGTGTAACATGTTTTGTTCTGGAGGTCATAACTTAAGAATGGTATTGACAAGTTGTAGTGTGTCTAAAAGTAGGGAGATTAAGAACAGGATGAACAAGACTCATGAGGATCCAATGAAGGAAATGGGAAATATTTAGCTTGAAAAAGAGAAGATGAGGGGTATTATTTTAAGAGTTGTCATGAAAAACTAATTATAAAACTTGTTATATTTACAGGAGACAAAAATGAATGGAAGAAGTAAAGAGGCGGGTTATATGAGAAAATAAAATCCTCATGATTAAAGTAGTGAAATGTAGAACAGTATGCCTTATAAGGCCATAATTTCTTCATCACTTGGAATCTTCGAATTGAGTATGGATCACTAGTCAAGAATGTTGTAGACAAGATTTCTGCTCCAGTACAAGTCTGATTAGATGTCCTTAGAGGGCTTTCGCAACTGAGAGCACATGAGTCTATTTTCTTCTCTCACCTAGCTGACATGGTAATAAACTATAAAGAGCAATTTTGGATTTAAATTCCAAAGTCTTTCTTTTGGCACTGGGAAGTCAAGTTAGATAAGGCTCTCTCACAATCAAGTTCAGACCTCAAAACAACTTCTTTTCCTTTTAATAATAGTAGTTCTTTATTTTTTTTCCTTCTTCTTAAACCAGTCTCAACCCCCAAACATGCACTCTTCAGGATCTATAGAAAATGGCTCACCTCCTCTGGGATATATGACAAGGTTTGGAGGGCAAGGCTATAACAAAATCTGAAAAACCTCTCAGTACAATTTTCTATCATATGAAACAAGAGGTACTGATAGTAATCATGATTTAAGGGACAGAGAATAGGATATGGAATGGTATGAATATAGGTTCTGGTTCTAACTCTGGCATTTTATTCATGTGCAAAACGAAAATAATAATTCCCATCCATGGGATGGATCATGGATATAAAATGGATTGATTTTTGTGAAAGTGCTTTGCGATCTAAACTATAAAGTGATGAAAAGCACCTCTAAACTCTGACTGTATAGACAAAAGGTTTGATTTCAGGTTTAAAGATACTAAAAAGAAGTTGGGTAGTAAAGTCAATATTTTCATTCATAGGGAACATTCTGAATACCTAAATATTTCCCAAAACAAAGGCCCATTTCTTTACTACCGATATTCTATTAATGGTTTTGTATGACTACAAATCATGAAATGGGACAGTCTGCTTGTTTTTTTTATCCCCAAGGCTTAGCAAGGTGCCTGGCACAAAGGAAGCACTTAAATTTTTTTTTTATTATTTGATTCACTCATTTGAAGAATTAAAAATGTCAGGACATAGTGGGTGTGAGCAGTGGAGAACATGTGACACATAAGGAACTTCAAATAAGGAGCATGTCATCAGGAAAATAGATGAATGAAAAGTTGTAGTGTGTTGAGAGCAAGAGATAAGTGTTGGACAGGTCATGTGCTTCAAAGATAACTTCATACTGTCAAGAAAAAGCAAGAAAGGCCATTACCATGCTGGGCAGAGCAAGTGTGAAAAATTAACACAAGAATATGGACAAGAAAAGCACAGGATGGACAGGTATACATAGGTGTCCATCTTTGTCACCGGAGGGAATATCCAAATCGATGAAATGCCAGTTCTATCTGAATAATATTCAGCCATTCCTGCCAATGTCCAACAATCTTGGGCCCTACGGATTTCCCCTCTATGGACAGCGAGGCCAATAGTGAATACATAGATATTCTGGGGAAAACACTGTTAAAACTTCTATGTGAAATCTAACTAATTTTATACTCTAAAGCCCTTTCTTCCTTCCCATTTATTTCCTTTGCAAGTGAGATAATTTCCCACTTTTATTTCAGATCTTATGGTGGTTTATGGTTATAATATATTTCATGCAGATAATATAATCTGGTTATTTGGACTATTAACAATCCTAATATTCAGACATAACAAAGATGATTAATCCTAATGTACAGATAAGTAAATTGACATTCACAGTAGTTAAATGACTTAGCTGAAATCACATGCTAATATGTGGTAGAACCAAAACAAAAACTAGGTTCTCTGACTGTAGTCCAATGTACCTTCTATTATTCT